GAGTCTTCCTTTCTCCAGCCTTCCTCTCTTGCCTCCAAGGTCTGGAATTCCTCAGGACTGGCCTTAGCAGTGAAGACTGAAACAAAGGCAGCATTCAATAACTCTGCCTTCTCTGTATCCTTCGTCACCAGGGCACCTGCCCCATTCAGCAGCAGGCCCACACTTTCCCTAGTCTTCCTTTTGCTATTGATGTATTTGAAGAAGGCCTTCTTGTTGTCCTTGACATCCCTTGCCAGGTTTGATGGATTTGATGGATTTTTTAATCCATCTCCTCCCTAAGAGCATTATAAAGCAACAGTATTTTGGTAATATTCAAATAATTTTAGATGGTTTGTATTGACACGAGGAATGGTTACGTGCTGAGACTCTTTTGGTTTTTTGTTATTCACTGAAATTCTGTACTGAAGCATTAGTTCTAATAGGAGAAGGAGGAAGTGTCAAATGGGAATTGAAAGGCAGACTAACTAAAGGTTGTTTTAGTCATTGTATCAGCTGTATGTGTGATTAATAGAGAAGGATCTGTACGTCTCAAAATAATTTGAAATAAAATAGATTTCTCAGTTTTATTAGGAGTTTTAAAAGTGGTGGTAATAACTGCTGAGAAGGATACTTTCTAAGTTTAACTGATAATTCCAGGTGATAAAATAAGAATTCAGATCCAAAGTCAGAGTTGTCATTTAGAAGCTGATGCTTTTTGGCCCTCATTTTAAGGAGACTGTTTTGCGTTTGCCATGTTAAGCTTCCACTATCACTAAACAAGGATGGTGTCCAATCAGGTATAACCATACAGGGCAATCAGATTTAGTCTAAACAAAAACTTAATTTACATCCTGAACAGAGCCCAAGGGCTACTCTTTTGCATAAAGACTGGGAGATTGAAATGCTTGCAGGAAGAAATAACATGTCTCTGGATCTGTAATAGGCATGAACAACATTTTCATATGAAAAATGATATCCACTGATTGCTGTTATCTGGACAGTAACCCCTTAAATGAATATTCAGCTTCATTCCTCAAAAAAATTTAATAACAGAAATACAAGTTATTTCCTTCATTAGTTTATCTCTTAAACAGAGTTTTAAGTACATGGAATGTAATGATATTGAAATGCAGTCATTAATATTCATTATTGTATAAATCACTTTTGTGTCTTAACTTTGCATTCATTAATGAG